ATCACCGTATCCGCGACACAAACCTTTTCAAGCGGAGCTCTCTTCTCCATTTGTATCTTCGTTACACACACTCACCAGCGTCAAAAACTAAACGAATCGAATAATAACAGCCTCCAACTCCCACAAAACACAAACAAAAAATAATAACAAATAAATCAACCATAAAAAAATTAAAACAAAAGGCGAAGGGTGGATACAAATATACAAACAAAAACTATTTAACATACAGAAATGTGTAAAGGAAAAACAAAAGAATTCATAAATAATCAAAAAAGAAGTTACAGGAGAATAATCCTCTGGGCCGCTGGCCGGATCCTGAGTTTATCAATAATACAAACCAAACCAGATAGGAATAAGAAAGGATGAATGGAATAAGAGTGGATTCACCATACCCTCAACGTTTAACACCAGGTAAGTGTATATATGTATACATATATCATCCGTTAGCCACAATTGTGGGCCGCTCACTCTATTCGGATGGGGTATGTAAATACAGACTTACGAAGTGGCAGACTTCGGAGTCCTCCAGCCACAATACACCGCCGCGTGGTGGGAAATCAAAAGGGAGTTGGCTTTAAAGGCAAAATTAATAATAAATAATTTTGTGCTACCGCCGTCGGCACCCTGATTGCGTCCATCGCGGTCATCCAATCGACCACAAGACAGAGAAAAAATACCGCACAGAAATGTCTTCGTTTTATCAGAATATATATTAATTTAGGCAGCCAGCCCTCGTCGCAAGCATCCTGGTCACAAGCACCTATTCTTCGGCTCGTCCACACACTTCATTTACCGTCCATCCCACAACACACACAATAGGAGAAGCAAAGGATCATTACACAAAGCCAAGGCAAATAAATAAATAATAATGGGAAATCACAGCCCACACGGGGCCCTCGCACACGCACACAAACGCCCTCACGGCATTCCTCAGAAGAAGTCAAACATACTGGTACTCGTAAACCATCAAAAATAAAAAAGGTGCGTGATGCCTCGACATCGGCAGCCAACACAGGAGAGGCAGAGTCTATAGAGCATGTTACTGGCATAAAGTGTACAGACAAACAGAAAGTATATATAGAGAGAAAGGCATATCAATTGGCATGGGTTTTTCTCTCTTGCATCCACTGCTGAGTGCGGGCCACGCAGGAAGCAACCACAGTCGCCTCGCCGTGCAACGGAACCCATGCCGCCGCTCAACAGAGTGGTGCCACGGCGGCAGCAGCGGCAAGCAGAAGAAGCAGCGTCATTGCCGTGGATCGGAGGCGGGGCGTCCGTCAGGTCTGCCTCCCAATCCCCGCGCCCCACCGCCGCATCATCATCGCTCCGCGGAGGGTCCACGGCGCCCTGCGCGGCATCGGCGGCATCAGGGCCCTTGGGTCCCGTGGTTGTGGCACCGCCACCGGCCCTGTCGCTAGCGGCCTCATCTCCTGCTGGTTGTCCCATAACAGACGTCACACCATCGGCGGCGACATCGTCGTTGCACGGAAGATCGCCCTTCCTCAAAGCCTCCTGCGGCGCACCCGCGGTGTCGCTGGGCGAGATCACCCCGTCGCCTGTCGGAGCATCTGGGGCGACTGCCTCTCCTCGGGCGACGGATTCTTCTGGGGTGCGGCCAAGTCGACATCCTTCGGTGGGGTGCCGCGGCCGGGATCAATGCTCTCCGCAACGGGGACGGATGCCCCCTCGCAATCCTTGTCCAGTAATTGCCGGTGGGACCGTCCTGCTCCACACCCTCCCTCCTCGCCGTCCCACGAAACCACCGGAAGGAGACTGCCGGCCGCGGCGGATATCGTGCACACCTGCGCGTGGCCACGGCAAGCAACGCTTCCCTCACCGTGCGGTCGAGTGGCCCACGCAATCGTCGCCCTGTCCGTGCATGGGACCCAACGAACGCCGCCCTTTTCGACCACTCTAAGACGCACCTGCATGACAAGGCACCCCAATGCCGCATGCATGGCAGCACTCAGATACGTCTCCTCCGGGTCCCTCGCATGCGTCGTGTTCGTGGGAAGCGTGTCCGGACACCACGAAGAGGGCCTATCCCCGGGCATCGCAAACAAACATTCTCCCCGCCAAATAACAGCGTCAGCATCCCTCACATCCAGTGCGGGATCAATGATGAGGCAGCTGTCCATCGGGCGTTCTGCGGGCATTTTATGGACACTCCCAAACACCAGCCAATGGAATACAGATCCGACGCGCAGCATTTGACGGGAACGCCCAATTCGCACAGCATGTGGGGATATTCACTCATGTTCAGTGCAGAGCAATTCCTCTGCTGCTGCAGCGCACAGCACGAATTCCCGCACCAACGCATCGGCTCCGTCATCCCCCTGCTCACCCTCATGCAGCCCTGGGCAGCCAATGCGGCCAGCGTCAGCTCCGCGCAGTCGCCGGCACCCCCAATCGCCGCCATCCACTCATCCCTCGCGTGGCGCCACGACCGGTGCGACTCCAGCGTCCTCCCGTCCCCATCGTCATCCTGCTGCTCCACGCCATCAACGTCGTCGCAGTCGTGGTGCTCCCTCGCTGCCATCGCGGCAGTCGTCGAGTGCACCACCACCGACAGCGCCCCGCCACGCACACAGGCAGCATTCCTCACCATGCCGCGGCCTGCCATGTGCGGGCAGGCAAACCCGACAGCATGGGCCATCGGGTGCGCGGCGATGCGGGTGGCGAGGCGTCCGTGAAACAAGACGGCCGGGCAATGTTCATGGCGCCAGCGACGGGACGGCCATCCTCCAGCGTGGCGCACGGCAGTGCCCACACACCACCCGGCGCAGCAGCCACGCACTGCACCATGTCAGAATTGGCAGCACCAGCGGAACGATGCTCAGCAGGCACAGTGAACCGACTGCAAACACTGCCAGTGGCGAGTGACGGCACAACCAACGGACGCTCCAGTGGCTAGACGAGCAGACGATCCGCATGCAGTTTGACAGCAGCAGGGACAACCTCCTCGGCAACAGCGTTCCCGTGCGCAGACGACAGAGCACCATTCTTGCAGACAAACGCGCCGTCCAATGCATTCGCTGTGCAACACCAGGAGAAGCCGCAGTGCCTCCTGCTGCCACACGGGTGCGTTGTTGGCGCCTTGATGCGGACGGGCACCCATCGGCCCCTCCAAACGACGCTGCACACCTGCAACGCATCCTGCGCTCCGAGAGGCACGTCTCCCACCACATCCGGGGACGCCCACACGCCGCCGGCACGCACCGCATCGTCAAGGAAACAGGGATACGTCAGGATGAGAGCAGGACACCCGCCGGCAATTCACATCGCAGGCATCATCACAAGCAGCAGCAGCAGCAGCACTGCAGGCCGCGGGGCAACGTGGATCAACCGACGCATGGCGTATGTGGAAGAAAAAACGTAATGGCCTGACGAGGATGCAAGAGGCTGACACCTCTACAAAAAGAAAGAAACGGTATGAGAACACAAAGAGGAGATTTAAACGCCCGCAGTCAATGCAAGCCACTGATAAAAGGGTGGAATGGGTGCACTCAACCACAACACGAGCAGAGACTCAAAGAAGAAAAGAAAACAAAACAAAAAACAAAACAAGAAGCCGAAGCGTGGGACGACCAGCACACACACTCTCTCATTGCTCCCGTAAAGCAAAACACACACACAGGAAGAGAGAGAGGTCGCCCACTCAAAGCAATGAAAAGTAAAAAAAAAAAACTGTTACGGTGCTCCGCCCATGCAGCCAGGCAGGACGGCAGCGGTGCGTGTGGTACAAAAGAGAGAACCAACGGGCCTGCATGGGTGTGCATTCACAAATACGTGAACGAATTATGTGTGTGCTTATTAGGCTGAGGTGAGGGCGAGATTCCATGCAAGGGGACACACACACAGTGAGAGAAGGACGAGTTTGTGTGCGGGCGGTGCACGGCTCTCTCTCCCTCACTCTCACGCGGCCACCACCGCAGCAGCTGCTGCACACGCAAGAAGAAAAAGAAAAAGAGGGGAGGTGGTGTGAGAGGCCGCGGTGCTGCTGTCACTGTCGTCAGGCGTCCTCGTGGCACTTGTTTGAGCGGCGGTGACTGTTGCTGGTGTTGGTGTTTCTGTTCCTCCCTCTCCCGGCTTTTGTGATGCCTGTGTACCTTCGCCTGCAGTTCCTTCCGGTTGACCCAAATGACTTTCCTCCGAACTGTTGCCCTGACCATCAGCAGAATGAGCAGCGGTGACTGTTGGTGTTGGTGTTTCTGTTCCTCCCTCTCCCGGCTTTTGTAGTTGTGTACCTGTGGCTCCTCCCGATCGATCAGAAACATTTTTCTCCGAGGTTTGTTCCTGCCCCCCAGAGGAACCACCGGCACTCGATTGATCACTGTCATTGTCTCTCTGAGCGCCATCACCCGCCTGTGAGGCAGCTTGTTCTCGTTTACTTGCATTTCTTTTTTCTTCGCAAAAAGAGTAGTTGCTGTTGAGCCTGCAGTACGTACCGTTTGCTCCATAATGTTTTTCATGCAACGTTTCATTATCCGAAAGATCCCACGCGTAGCCACCGCCGGCACCGCACCACAGCACGCAGAGGGCACACACCAGCAGCACACGGCCAGTCATCATCATCGCCATCACTCCTGTCACTTGCGTGTAGCTTTAAGCACAAACTAACTCCCCGTCAACGCAGAGCGGAAGCAAAAGTATAGACACGGCCGCTACACCACGCACAGCCACCGCACAGCCACAAATGGCAGCAGCCCAGCAGCGGCAGCGCACACGCACCGTGAGGCAGTTGAAAGCAGTGGAAGGGCAAAAACACACAACGCCCCGCAGCAAGTAAACAGAAAAACACACAAAAACACAATTAGAAACAAAACACAGGTAAAAGAACAGCAATGAAGTAAAAAAATAAAAACACGCAAAACAAAGGGCTGCACAGTATGGCTCCAGCGCGCACGCACCCATCCTCAAATGTGGCTCCACGCAAACAGTTGTGTGCGTGCCATGCATATGAGTCTGTCTGGGATGCGCTCAACGTGACGGATGCGGGGAGCGGCAAGGAGCACACAGCAGGGCAGCGAATGCAAATAAAAACAGTAAAACACAATCATCATTTTTTTCGTATTTATTACTTAGTAAAACAATAGACGCGCACAAGTCCCCGCGGCTGAGTGCTGGCACGCACAGCCCACACAGAATTCTCAGCCCGGAGTGGTGTACGCAAGCGCAGCCAGAGCGAGCAGCAGCGGGGCATGCAGACGGGTGTCATGGAAGCAGGCATCATTTCCGACGCTGCTCTCCAGCGCCTTCGTTGTGGGCACAGAGGAAATTGGAGCCAGCATGCCTGCCGCCGTAGGATTTCCCTCGCTGGTGGCCGTGTCGGTGGTGTTGGTATTGTCTCCGTGCGCCACCGCGGCAGCAGACGGCGGGGTGCCGTTGGGAGTCCCCTCCGCTGCGGAGTTTTCACCCGGACCGCTGGCAGCAAACTGCCCGCCTGGGGATGGGGATGTTGGCTCAGCGTCACCCCCTGCTGGTGTGCTCCGCGTGGCATCTGATGCGGCTGCCGTTCCTGGCTCTGGCGAACCGTCGCCTGTAACGCCTTGGTTTCCTGCCGCCGGCAACTGTGACTGCAGCTGCTGCGCTGATTGTGGTTCTGTTGTCACACCGGAGGTCGCTGGTTCACCGGGTTCCGCTGACTTCGGCAAATTTATCGGCCCTGTTGGTGCTGGTGGAGTTGCTGGTGGTGACGGAGGTGCTCCTCCCGGCTGGTTTAATTCTTCTGCTTTACCTTCATCTTCTTTCGATCGACCCGAGCCACTTCCCTCCGAACCGTGGGCCAGCCTCCCAGCAGAACCCTCGCCACTCGCTTCACCACTTCCTTCCCCTCCCAGACCAGCAATTGATTGAGCACTCTCCTCCTCTCCCGACTCGGCATTTCCCCCTGTGACAGAACCTCCGCTGCATTTTGTTGAGACGTCACCTCAGTTGTTTTACTGCAAAAAGAAAAAATTGTGGGAAAGGCTTTACAGTACGTGCCGTTTGCCCCATAATAATATGCATGTACCTCATCGTTGAAAAACAACGCGTAGCCACCGCCGGCACCGCACCACAGCACGCAGAGGGCACACACCAGCAGCACGCGGCCAGTCATCGTTATCATCATCACGGCTGCACACACACACACACTGGCGCAAAGCCTAATGAGCAAAAGCAAACATGTGTATATTTAAATGCATGGCTATAGACGTCTGCGCAACTAAATGTTTTTGCACACGGTCATACATGTAAAATGAGCGAGCCAAATAAATTCATACAATGAAGCAAAGAGAGAGATGGAAAGGAAACGCATGTATGTGTGCATGTGTTGTTGTTGTTCTTTTTACAGTGGTTGCCGCCGTAAAAAAGCGCATAAACAAAAATAATTAGGAGCCGCCGTGTTAAATTGGAGGATCCATAAAAATAAAATAAGAAGTAAAAAGAAAAGGACAAGTGTCGCCGCAAAACATGATGCTCAAAAGAAAGAGACACGCTACATCTAGCAGAGCAAAAAAAAAAAAAAAGAGAAAAAAAAAAAAGAGTACGACGTGCGGTCCCGGGCAATCAACATTTTTCATGAAGCGGATTTATCGTGTGTATTGGAGCCAATCACGCAGGGAAAAAAAAATTGTCGCTACGTGTGAAATGCATAAAGCCATTCAAAATCTCAGAAGCACCTTTTCTCTCCTACTTTCAGCCTCCAAATCCCCTTTGATTTGCTCCCCCCCCCTCCATCTCCTTTCATCCGTTGTTTTGGGCCCACCTGCTTCCACACTTATGAAGACGTAAGTGGCAGCGTCGGCAATGTTCCCTGTTATCCTTGTTGCCCTTATTTTACATGCGTTTTCCCTCCAACTCCTCCCTATTGTTCGACTTTCACCTTTACGCATACACAAAAAAAAAAACACACACTTCCTCTTTCTCTCCTTTTCCCTCCTGGTTGTTGTTCTTTTTTTTTTTTTCTTTTTTTGGCCATTGGTGTCACCTCTGGCTCTCTACCACCATGCGGAAGAGTGCCAGCACTGCGTGCTGCGGTAACTCACTTACGAGCTCCCATGCCTGTGGGTCATTTTGAATGAGTGCGTTAAAATTGCTTGCCACGTAGCTAATCCCCCGCTCATGAAGCTCTGGCACCTGGTGCTTCACGGCATATATAAGCAGGCGAAGAGCATTTTGGTGATTAAAGGCTTCGTCCGCCTCCCGCTTCAGGTGCCCATCCATACCAAAGACACTGTGCATCTTAAAGACGATTGCCACATCTTCAGCAGAGAAATCGCGATAAGACTCAAGATGATGGCGATAAATCCCAATGAGCAGCTTCTGCCATGATCGTTGTGAGAAGTCAAACTCCGCGGCGGTGAAGGGCGGTACTGCCACGGAGGATCGTGGATTTATGGCTTGAGAGAAAAGAACGCAGCGTGAGGCTAAAATGTAGCGGTGTGCCTTCACTATCAAGTGCTTCGGACCCACCACAAGTTCCATGTCGCTGTACTCCCCCGACTCCGCCAGCCATGCCAACTGTCTGCCAAGCGTGTTCTTTGACGTCGGGATAGTCACCTGAGGGACCGGCTCCTTGTCACGTAGAATGAGCGAAAGACGACGGAATAGGTGGCCCGGAATTTCCTCAAACTTCGGATCCTGAATAAGAAAATCGTAGTTCTCTAAAAGAACACGAAGGTACAAGGCGTTTAAAACTTCATCCCCCGCATTATACCGCGTCAGTGTAATGTGAAGAATATTTTCATTCGTTAAAAGCGGTCGCACAAAATTCAAGCAGACTCCCGATAATTCATAGAATTCACATGCGGAAGACAATAAATACAAATCCAGAAGCGCTTCAGGCGGTAAGACCCCTTGTTGTGGACATTCCTCCGTGTAAACATACCGCAAGAATGCAGAGAAAACATCTGCCGTCACTGCAATCGTCACAACGCAACCCGGTTGCAGTGGCAGTACATTCTCTGGTAGAAGAGGACGCATACGAGCGGCAATAACACACCGATGCGCCTTCATTCGAACACCCTGAATGTCAAACGTCATATCCGTCAGCGCCTCAAGATGCTCAAATGGGTATAAAAGTGGTGCCCGAACCACTGCCTGCCCACCACCTACAATGAAACCGTTCTCTGGCGCCACGATCAAATGGCCCCTGGCAGACGTGGATCTTGTCGGGCCAACACCTCTGTATTCCATGGGTGAACGCATGCGCGAAAGGGCACGATTTGGGTCCTGATGAAAATTGAGTTGTGCCGGAGGTGAGCTTGAGCGTCCAGGAAGCACGTTTGTCTCAAAGCCTCCGTTACCATAACTCTGACCATTGGCGTCGACAATTTTTAGCAGAACATCAATGTCAAAGTAAAGTGCACCAGACCCCTCATCCTCATAAACAAATCCATTCTCCTGTTGAATGAGACGCCACATCGGAATAAACTCATTCATGCCCCACGCACTTCCGGACTTCTTAAACGTGCAGCGAAAGATGTGGCCCTTCGACGACGGGGGATCCTCGTAGCATTGTAAAAGCAATTTGAATTGTGCCACTACTGCTGCGTTCGTGCAGCTTTGAAGGTGAATGGAAAGAAATTCCTCACCACTCGCGGCGGTAGCGCGTCGTTGCAAGTGTAAACGCCACGTGTACCCCCCAACGGTAAACTGCGGACTGTAGTGGGACGCATCCAAAGACATATTCCGTAGTAGTTTCACTGGGCAGTGGTAGCGAAACCGTGCACCGTTCTCGGAAACTACCTCCACGGTCTCTATCGACTCCATAGCCACAAAAAAAGCAGAGATACCTGCGGCAGTGGTAAGAAAAAAAAAAAAACTAAATACCTCTAAAAAATTCGATATCTAACACACTTCTTCTCCTTATTATTATTGTTATTATTATTATTGTTGTTGTTGTTGTTTTGTTGCCCCTCCTCCTGTTCGTCTGTTGTTGGTGTTGTTTTGACCGATCCAATAAATTAATAAATAAATATATCTATGCGCCGCTGCCCTTCGTGCCTTGACCCTATTTTTTTTTTTTTTTTTTAATTATTTTTCTTTTTTTCACCCACACGGCACCCCTTTTTCCCCTCACGTCCCTTCACGCCCCGTTTTTACGAGTCCGTGGGAGTCAAATATGTGCCCTAAACAGTCAAACAATAAGTGCTGAGCGCCTTCTCGCTACGCCCCCCTCACAGCGCGGAGAAGCTCGCATGAACAGTGGGAAACGGAGGGAAGCAAAGACTCATGCGGTGCAAAAACATACACACACGACAGGGAAAAAGAGAAAAAGGGTTGGGGGAAGGGAATGAGCCATGCGCAGTCGCCTGCCCGCTACTCCCCCCTCAGAAACACACACGCATCTCATACGCATACACTCCACTCCTGTCGCACCCTTTATTTCTCCTCCGCCTCCCCTCTCTCTCTCTCTCAGGCCAAGGAAATAAAAATAAAAATACAGTTTAGAATATAAAACGGTGCCAATAAATAAAAGATATAAATATATCGGTTCCCCCTTCCCTTCTCCTCTTTTTTTTTTTTTTAGTTTTTGTTTGTTTGTTTGTTTGTTTTCATGAATGCATGCGTATACGCGTACTGGATGTGTAGGGGAATTCTTTAAAGAAAGGGGAAAGAGGAATTGCAATGTGCATAAATAACCTTCTCTTCGTCACTGTTTCTCAAAAAATTCCTTCCTCCTTCCTTGCGGTTTTTAGGCATCGGCCGCTGTGACAGTTTTCCCAGCGGGCAACAAACGTAACTGCCCCTCTACCATCGATCGCAACTTCTTCACACGTTCCAGCAGTTGTGTGTAAACAGCGCCCGTCGCCTGGGCATCTAAATAATCGGAAACTTCACGTAAACGATCCGTGTATTCGCGTTGCCCATCGTACTTCGCATCCCCCACAAATGTCTGGGTGAGAAGCGAAAGCCGCATAACCAGCGCATCACGCAATGCCTCCTCGTGCGGCGCAACGGAATCCTCACGCTCTGTGAATTCGGATATGTGCTGTGAAATTGTGTGGGGCAAAGCCAAATCCCTCAAAACTTCAATGCTCCGCCTATGAATGGTCTGCATCAGCGGTTCGGATTGCATCTCCATGTGATCTGCGATATCGCGTGCCTCAACAAGAATACGCCTCAGGCGTTGCTCAAACGTATCTACCCACCATTTGCAGGCTGCCTCGACGCCGGAATTGGCGTGCTCCCTCCTAATGGCCTGGCGTATCGTGTGGTAGACGGCAATGGCGAGTTCCATCCACGTGCGATTCACCGTCACCAGTGCCTCACGAACAGCCCTGTTCGATGCAATTTGCTCACTCCGCTCCAGAAGGACAAGAAAGTTCGTATCCATCACCGCCACATTTGACATAAATGAGGCACAAAATTCTCGAAGATCCTTCAGACCCTTCAAATCATGCAAAGCCTCCTGCTGCTCTACACACCATGCCAAAAGCCTTTCCTGGCCTTTAAAAAATTCCGCAGTGTTTTCCCGTAAGAGAGACTGCGTATGACGCTCACGGTTCAACAAGGAGGTGACTTGTAGCTGCATTTTAGTAACCCGCTCCAGCTGAGTATACAGAAGCTGGGTGGGAAGCGTATAGGTTTCAATGTCTTTTTTATCTTCCAAAAAGGTGATGACACGATGTACGGCAGATGTAAAAGGAGCCAATGAGTCTACCGCATCCGTAAATGTAGTGACATGTACCGCCGTGGAGGGGCACGACAAGACATGGGCAAGTTGTTCCCGTCGCAACGCAAGTCCACCATACACCGCGGCCCATTGTCTTGCATATTCATCTTGTGATGAAGTCCTGCTTGCACCATCGCCATCCCCCTCTTCTTTAAACTGCCGCAGTTTTCGCTTCAATTCGTCACGGCGACGTAGCGCCAATTGCCGCCGTTCATTTGCCGCCGCACGACGTTCCTCCTCGGACTGCACCAACAGTCGCTCAAGAAGCCTTCGCTGCTTAGGCAATGCGCGTATCTCAGCCTCGGCAAGTTGCATGTACGCCTTCATTAAGTCACTGCGTGTGGCGTTGGCGGCAGCAACCGCGCGGCAGAGCCCTCCCGTCTCTTTCTTCGCAACCTGCTCAAAGCTGTACCGCATATTCACTTCCGTCGTTTCCTGCTTGTGTAGTGAACCTCCCGCCACCCCTTTTTTTAGAGGTATCACGACGGGGAAAAGGTGTGAGAGGAACAAACAAACAAACAAAAAGAAGAGGCGGGACGATGGGGAATTATTTGAACACTTCTGTTGCCGACGTGCGGAAGCAAAAAAAAACAATAAATAAATAAATCAGAAAGTGGAGGAAAATGGGGGAAGGAAAAAAAAGCCGGACCGTGAAATCAACGAGAGAAATTGGATAAAAGTTTACGAATTGGCAGCGGAGAGAAAGACCCACAACAACAAAAACAAAAACAACAAAAAGAAGGGGTCCTGCAGCAGCGGCAGCCCCCGCGGCAAATTCACAAGACTCCCAAATGGCGCAAACTGGAAAAAAATTATTTTTTGTTTGTTTTTGTTTGTCCGTGTGGGTGTAAATGCGCCCTCGCGTTATATTGTCCCCCCGCCTCCACCCCATTCATCCATCCATCCATCAGCACCCGCCACCGTCACCACAACGCACAGAGAAAAAAAAGAACAAACAGCAAAAAGAGAAAAAAAAAAAATGTGGAAAAGAAAAAAAACCGGTTTCTAAAAGGAGGTGTCGCTGTTCACGCAGAGGAGATCGTACCAGCTGGAGTACTTCTCATTGTCCTGGTAAATGTACCGCATGGAAGAGCGCATCGACGGTTGCATGGCATCCCCGTAGTAAAGGAAGAGTGGCATGACAATCATCCACAACACACCCGAGTAGATGCGAAAGGCGCCTGGTGAAAATTTCCATCCAAACTTCCCCGCAAGGATAAATAAGAGGGCACTCAAAATGCGAGACAGCATGTACATGCTCATCTGCACCGTCACTGGATTCTGCTCACCCCAGAAGATAACACCAACAAAAAACCCGGCCAATGCGCTGTGCCAATTTTGTGGGCCACCATGCAGCTTACGGAGAAACGCTCGCAAAAGAGAAAACGTTAGGCTTGTACAGCCAAGCGCAATGCTGTGCCGCTTTGTCACCTGATAGATTTTACGTGCCATCACACGATATGGGGCATTGGTCCACACAAGGTTCAGTACAAGGGCATGTGGGGCACGAATACGAGCGCCGTATACAAAACCATTGCGGAACCCTTTAATGGCGTCCAGCAGCTCCTTATATTTCCCTGAGCGGATCATGTCATCAATAAGACGCGCTGCCTCACTGGTTAGAGCCACGCGCCTCAAACCCGGCGCATCTGAGGTGGAAACAGGCATCCCCCCGCTCTTTCACCCTCTCTCAGATACACGCACACACGCACTAACAAAAAAAAAAAAAAAAAAAACGTTTCACACGCACCGTGAGTTCAGCTACCCGCCATCGCCGCAACACGCATCGGAAAAGAAATGTATACAACAAGGAAAGAAAGAAAAGAAAAAAAAAAAAGTAGTGTCACGGCAATAACAAAGAGACGGTCTCACAAGTCAGATAAAAGTCGGTGGTCCTCTCATTTCTCAGGCCGGAAAAAGAATTCCGCACTGGTCAAATTAAACTCGTCTGATAACGCCATCACGTGCCTTGCAACACCCACAAAAACACAAACACAAACACACGTACAGAATAAACAAAAAAAAAAAAAAAGATTTAAAAAAAAAAAAAAAAGAGCGCCCGACACGCGAGGTATACCCGATTCACGCCGCAGCACACCCGTGCCGCAAATTCCTTCTCAAAGTGGTGGTGGATCTTTTCTCGGGGCCGCCATTTCAGGTGCCGCGTTGCTCGCCTTCCACATCGCATCGGCGCAACATCGTGGGCATCGCGGAATCATCTTCGATGGACGCACGTCTCCAAGCAAACTGGTCTTGTATCCACAGTGTTCACACTCAATGAATCGTCGTATTGTCGCTCTTGTTTCCAAGACGTGTTGCAGCATCTTACATCGTTCATTGCGACGTAGATACCAACGTTCACATTGACGGCAATAAATTCCCTTCACTTTTTGCTCCGTCACCGCCACGAGTGCCTCAAGTGCCTTTTCCTGCATGAGTCGTCGCTCCATGCGCTGCTCAAACTTCCGCCGCTCATCCGTGGCACGAAGGCCGTCGTTCACACTCTCAATGGATCCTGCCACGGTGCCGAGCAATGATTTGGAGACGGAGGCCGTGTTTTTTTGGTGTGATGTCTCCTCTTGGGCAATTGAAGCTCTTGTCTTTGCGAGAACGCCATCGCCGCGGAGGTGCTGCTCAACAACAGAAACAATCGAACTCGTTGTGCCATTGGCTCGCTTCGTGATGACGTGATGTTGATAATCCTGGCGGTGGCGACGCACCTCCTCAAACCCATTGAATCGCATGGCCGCAAAGGAAGAAGAAGACCCGCCCGTCAGTGGCGCATACTGCTCACGAACCGCCTCTACATCTTCGGCCACCGTCGTCCTTGGGCTCTTCGGTGTGGAGGTGCCTTCATTTCGTGGATGTTTAGCGCCTAATTCGCTCGGCTTCAGCGCAAGTTGAAGCAGCCTTTGGCGTTCCTTCGCATCCTCCTGATCCACAGCCGCGGCAAGGACAGCACGTCCACGTGCCGTCACGCCAAGTGCCTGTGGAGAACGAAAGACACGTCCCACATCACGACAGATCCCAGTCACAGACAATGCACCGCCCGGCACGACGCCCGCGTACGCTCCAGCAGCCGAGACGACATCAGAACCGGCGGGTGTTGTCGTTGGTAGCCCACACGAGCCCTTCACCGTTAGAAACCCTGGTTGTTGACGCACCATTGATTGCAAAGCCTTCTTGGATGCGATAACACCTGTTGGATTCGTTAGCGCAGGATCTACACGTGTGACACCAGCCCTAAAAGTTGTGGAGGAAAGATTAGACCTCAGTGGCTTCTGTGGAGTTGTGGTGGAGGGTGATGACGCCTTGCCACGAGCCACACGCCGAAGATTAGCAACATGGTTGGAACAAAACTTTGAAAGCGCACCATTCACTATTCTATTGCAGCGTTCACCTGATCGCTGTTGGGTTCCTTCGCAAGTACGGAGATCCACTGCGTAGCCAAGAACTCGTATCTGGTCACCCTTCACCACCTTTAATAACTCCAAATTGGTACTACAGACATTGGAAGAGTTCGCACCGGGGCGATTACTGTTAGTCAACGTGGTATTCTCAGCCTGTGTGTTGCCAGAAAGAGTGCCTTTGCGGCCTTCCATCCGCTGTACACTTGAGAGTGCCAGTACGAGACCAATTGCCAGTTTTGTGTAGTGAGCATCAAATGCCGATCCAACAATTAGGATGGACAACTCATCTTGTGGAGTTGGGAAGGGCCCCCGCATGTTCCACAGTGAAATAATGCCGTATGCGCCTTTACCGTTCTTTTGCTTTGGATCTGTCCTACGAATGACGACACCAATGACCGTAAGCAATGGGGGTGTACCCGCGGTGGCAAGAGAACGGCGCATCTCTATAAAAGTAGAATAAGGGTACTCCACAAGCACAAGTGGAAGCTGTTCGCAGCTCTTCGTAGAATGCCGAATGTTAATACCGCTATTCGGCTCCCTCACAGCAGCTGCATGAACCCTTTCTGCAGGTGGTTGCCGTGTGACTGAGCCCATCTCACAGCCATCTTGGGTGGATGCGCAGACGACATGCATGATAGACAGTGAGGGAGATGAGGCAGACTTGCTCAACGCTTCCGTGACGGAAACACTGCGGCCGCCGCCAAAAAATGAATCCGATTGACGGAGAGCCGCAGGTGCCGCGAGTAAATCCCCTGCCGGCTCGGGCGTATTAAACACCGCAAAAAGATCCTCGTCGTCATCGACATTGTCGTTCGCTTCATTTCGTGTCATCTCCAACCTCCTCCTCCTCCTCCCTTTGCGATTCCTCCCACGATACCTTGCAACGCCCAGAAAAACAACCAATAAAAAAAAAACGGTCATATTTGCAGGAGTCAACACCCGAGAAGAAAAGAAACAACACGAGGGGCCGCATGCATAAAATCCACCCAAGCAACAAAAAAGAAAAAAAGGGGGGGAAAGGCAAATAACAAAAAAAATGATAACATCTCCCTCATTTCAGCAAATAATAATAATAATAATAATAATAATAAAGCGTAGTAGAAATAGATAATCCATTCACCTCTTACCTTTCTTGCGTGAATACCTAAGAGATGAGTGGGATAAAAAAAATGCTCTCTTCCCGCTTTTTATGTACATCGTTGGCTTTATTCAAATGAACTACGGCCTCTCAATACGCTGGTAGCCAGCCCTATATACATTCATACATAACATACATACATTACAGCCGTTTTATCATATATACCAAGAGAAGATGAAGGTATATATATATATATATATATATATATATATATACCTATATATACATCGTGTGCCAAAACAAGAATAGGCAACCTAAGACGTTGTAAACAGAACAGCACACAACACACAAAGGCACGCCCGCAAAACAAAAACAAAAAGATGTGCCTTTCAAAATGTAAAAATCTAAAGAAACAATTTAAAAAAAGTGGTATGTATTTGGTGGGAAATGTCAACCACCTTCATTCCTTCTCCTCCTCTCGGCTATCCTCCCTCCCTCATCAATCATACCGCATGGCCACGTGTACAGAATCCGTCAACGCTTCCTCTTTAGGGATGGGAGTCGATCTCGTGTTCCTCGCTTTGAATTCATTTCCATAATACGCGGTGCTGACCCCGTGCGAGACATAGATCTGTAATTCCCACGGCTTTCATTAGTTGACACAGCTGCAGTGCCCGTTACCGCTGTCGACGATGTTGCTGTCGCCGCCCCGGGTGTACTCCTACCACTAATCCTCTTACGCTTAGAGCGTGATGGCGGCTGCGGGACCAACGTTGGACGAGCAGAAGGGATTTCCGGAAGTAGGGTACGCCGCAGGGATGAAATGGACTCCACAATGCTGCCCAGAGGTGGTTCACCTGGTTCATGTCGTGTGACAGCCGAATCCTGCTCACTTTTCGTCACCGCACGAATCATAGGGTTGTTGTAGCTCATGCCATCGGCATTTTCTACCACAATTTGAATCGTGTACTCCGTTGACGGCTCCAAATCTTCAAGCGTATAACTGGTGGCCCGAGAAACGGTCGTCACAAAGATAGGCGTATGGTCCCGGATGCCAAGATAGATGCGGTATGTCAATGTCCGTGCTTGGCGAGAGGTGCCGCTGATCTCGGACCGCGATTGAGCCCACTCCACCGTCATAAAGTTGTATGCAATGGCCGTGATGGCAAGTTGCGTCACCGGCTCCGGTGGCGTACCGCTTGAAAGTTTCACCGGTTCACTGAATTCACTGAACTCGTGGCCCTCACCCACCCGTGCGGCCTTGACGCGGCAACGCATCTTATTAGGCGGTACGGTAAAACGCACACGGCAGAAGGTGTCTTCCACAGTATCAGCAACACGCCACTCCGTTCCACCCTTTGTCTTCCCGCGTGTATCGGAGGGGGCAAAAGCCTGCTCCACCACGTAACGGTAGAGGTACCGGTTGTCAGGGGGTTCCCACTGCAGCATACAGAATTGGGCATTGATGCGGTGCATTGCCACAGAATGCGGTGGAAAAGGTGCCGTCTCCACATTTAACTCCTTCCATGTACCCCACATCCCATTCTCGTCCAACGCACGGACTTGGATTTTGTAAAGAGTGGAGCTTTCCAGTTCCTCCAGCTCACAGATGGTGTTGGTTGGATCTTCCTTGTTTACTTCAAAATCACGCGTCAATACTACATTATCCTTCTTCGCTGGTGAACAAAAAAACGCACTACGTGATAAACTTCCCCTGTCATACCCCTCAGGCACAGGAAGCTCTTCTTCTATCACCACGCTGGCCACACGTCCTTTAGGTAAAGCAGGCTTTTCATCCGTCGTCGTCGCCGCAAGGGATTCTGCATCTACGGCAACAGAAGCAGCGGGGATTGTAGGGGAGGCATACATGGCCTCTTCGGCGTCCACCTCTCCAGCATCTTCAGCAACAATAGAATTGGGCTCAACCGCAGCAGCAGCAGCATCAGCAGCAGCAACACTAGCCGCACCAACCGCAGCTGCAGAAATGGAAAGAGTACGTTGCGTGGCTGCCGTAGAGAAAAGAGTAGCATGAGTAGACAAAAAATTCGGTTCACTTTCACGCTCCTTTTCCTGTGCAATTTGCTGTTCGTATGTCTTAAGAAGCACCAGCTGGTAATATACAATACTCCCAGAAGGCGCCGTACGCTCAGGCTCTTCATTCCCTGTAGCAACAATATCCGCCTCCGTTGACGGTGTCTCGACGGCTCGGCAAAGCGAAATCACCAGACGATTTGAGCCAATGGTGGTAGGAGTAATAGAGATAGGTTGCAGTGTCTTAAAGCTGATGGTGGGAGTCCATAATCCCCAGCGGTTTTCCTCATAACCCGGTTGAAGCGCCATCAGATAGTTTGTATTTGGAGTAAGTCCTTCCAACAAATAGGTGGGAAGCTTAAAATCATCCTCCGTCACACCACAATCAATGGGTTGAATCAATCGCTCAATCGTCTCTGTTTCGGCCTTCAGCAGTAGTTGATATATAATGGGTTCCGCCCTTGTGCCGGCGCCGCGTCCATCCTCGTGAAAGTCAACCTCGGAACGCTCCCATTTCACCCGTACACAGTTTTCACCCACCGTTATCACGCAGAGTTCCAATATGCGCTGGGTTTGGAAGCATCCCTCCTTGCTCCAAAGTCCCCAACGTGACTCGGTGTTACATGCACGCAGAACAGCCACATATGGCGTATCGGCAGAGAGAGAGCCAAGGCAATAACGGGTCACATCCTTCGGAAACTGTTTGTCAACCACAGCAAGAGATGGGGTGTGTTGGGTGAAGAAGACACACAACTGGTACGCGATCACCTCGGGGTTTCCAAGCTGAACGATGCCTCCCCCTTCTCCCACAATTTCACTGTATTCCTCAGATGTCTGCTCTTCACGGTCCCATTCAACCATGACATACTGTTCCGCAACAGTGCCAACTGTTAAATGCATCGGCTTCAGCGTGGCAAAGAGAACACGCTCACTCCATAAACTCCACCCGTCAAAGCGTGTGTCAAACGAACGCACACTGACAGAGTAGACGGTATTTGCCTCCAGTTGCTTGATGCGATAATTGTTACGTGCCGCCTTAAACTTCTTGTTTACATGAAACCTGTGCTCAATTCCCACCACCTCAAGGTGATATCTTTCAATGTTGTCACCATTTCCACAAAACACTTCTGTCCCATCAGAAAGAGATGAACTACGGCGCGGTCTTTGCCATGAAAATGCTGCGTAGTCTTCACCAATGTTAGCAATATCAATGACAAGCTTGGGTAACGTTCGAACAAACAAATTACGGCTCCAACGACCCCAAACATTGTCAACGCAGCAACGTACATCAATACGGTACAAAGTGTCGGGTCTCAAGTTCTGCGCCTTGTAATTCGTTTCGTTGGCATCAAGCGATTGATCAATATGAGTGGAATCGGCACTGGTGACAACGGTGACGCCGTCCCACTGCATCTCATCGATACGTAGGTGGTAACCTTGTACAGGCATTTGGACAAATGGGTTAAGGACTGGCAATGCCGGGGCCCGTGGATCCCGCTCCCACCGCACAACAAAGAAGTCTTCCGCACTATCTGTCAAGAAGCACATCATATCACGCAAAGTCACGTCGTAGAGACATTCGCCCCATGTACCAGGTAAACCGTGATTACGACGTATCGCATCCAATATTTGCTCATCATCCGTACTTGGAGACTCACAAGGGGCGTCGTTTATAAATGCCTCAAGCGGTTTATACCACCGTCGAACACACACACGGTAGCGATGGTGGGAAAATAACTCCTTCACGGTACAAGACCACACTTTCGCCGGCACAAAAACGGTACGTCTCAACCTGGGCGCCAAATCCTCCACATCCTCCTCACCAAAAGAAACATCCGTAAAGTCGTGGACCGCAAGCTCATAAAAGATGGCGTCCTCCTTGCGTCCATGACTTACCGTACTCGTGTCGTATGTGATGGGTAAGCGTTGCCATGCGGCGGTCAAATAATCCTCACCAAGGCCCGATAACTCCACCTTGAGTACGTTGAGCGTACCACTCGTGACATAGGCACTGCTGATACCCCACTGGCCACTCCCGTAGCGGGCGCAAATAGCCAGTGAGTAACGTGTATCCGGTCGCAATGATGGAACGGTAAAACTGGTAGCATCACCAGGCACTTCAATGGTGTAGTCCTCAGCCTCGTCCGCGCGTCGCACACTCACAACATAAACGTCAATAATTGTATTTGCACTGTTGTACACCACACCCTTTCGCTCTGGACGGTCCATCAGTGGGTACTTTTTCCGGTTGACGCCACGCATCGAGTGGCGTTTTTGTCCAGACATCTCCACATTTGCCTCAGTAGGTGGCTGCACACAAACACTGCCCGTAGCACCATCAACACCTTCACTGGTGCGTCTCTCTGGAATGACGTCATTGTCGGTTGTGTCGGCGTTCATGGCGATTGTCTCCGCCTCGCCCAGTTCCTCAGTGAAAACATCATACCCACTTTTGTTGGGTTGTTTAGGAGAATTTAATGAATCCCCAATCTGCAACTCATCCGGTTCCTCACGTTTCCAGAGAAATCGAATGTAGTCTTCCCCAACAGCCGCAATCTCTGCGCAGATAAGCTTCATTGTATACACACAACGCTCCTCTGACCACAAGCCCCACTCCCCTAGCAGGTTTGTTGCCCGCACAGAGACAACGTACGGTGTGTTCGGTGTAAGGGACGCCAGAGAAAACTTGTGCACGTCACCGGGAAAGTTCTTCTCCAGTAACAAAGACCGAGAGAACTCACAGCCCTGGTATACACGCAAAAGATAGTTACCCGATTCCCGACTTCCAACACTTATTGTAGGATCGTATTTTCCACCAGTCTCTGGGCATGAGGGCCGTTGCTCCTCACGCCCCCAAACCAATATGATAGACTGCTCTGATATTTCAAATGGCTGCACCTTAACTCGGTCAAGTGTCACAAAACGCAGCGTCTCAGACCACAGACTTTTCATATCCACATCATTGATGGAGTACACTCGGGCACTGTATATAGTATTCAGAGATAGACCCTTTAAGTGATATGAAGTATTGTTATGACCTTGTAATTGTTCATGCAAGTAAAAGTCACCAGCACCCTTCACTTCTAATACATATGCAATGGTCATGTAATGTCCTGTAAACACACGACTCATATTAAGCTTTGGATGCTGTCTTGGTGGTAAACGTTGCCATACAAGATCCACATACTGCTCGTCAATGTTTTGAGTTGAAATTTTAATCTTTGACATGGTGATAAAGTACTGATCACTGCTCCACGCACCCAGACGATCCTCTGGTGTTTCACACATCACCTGTACATTATAGAATCGGTCTGGTCGTAAATTCTCCAGTCGAAAGGAGACAACGTCTTTTCCAAATCGACGAATCAAGCATTGAAGGCCATCCTTCTCACCTTCAAATTCTGCTGGATGTTCTTGTAATGGCAATACACCGTGTGTCATATGGCTGGAGGTAAAAATATTCTCCACCTCATCGGAGATTATCAATTCCGTGGTGTTCTCTCTCATTTCTTCAAGGGGCACCGCGTGTGCCTCATCGTCATCGTCATTCTCGGGCAATTCCTGAACTCTCAAATAGTAAGAAAGCTTTTCCAAGTCATATTGTAACACATCAATGTCATCGTCGTAGTCCACACGCCGCTCCTTGCGGCGCCATGTAATCTCCGCCCAGTCTTCGCCAAGCTCCTTTACAGTTGTTTCCATTCCAGGCAACGTTACACATTTCTTTGGTGCGCACCACAGCCCCCAATCCCCTTCCGCATCCCACTCACGAACGGCAAAAGTATATTTCGTATCGGTGCGTAACCTGTCAATGCGAAACATATTACAAGAGCGCATGGTACGGTATTCCTCTACTATTTTACCGTCATTTTCCTCATCCTCGTACGTTATACGCACCTGACAAACACGGCCCTCGCTTGATACAGCATCACTTGTCAGTACGTTGTTTTCTTCACCTGGTGGAATACGTTTGTTTGGCGCACGATACCACTCAATTTCAACAAACACCTCCGAGATGTATGTAATGGAGAGTTGAATAAGATTTTGAGTCATGAATTTAAGTGGCGTCGTCCAGGGTCCCCACGCAACGCCGTAGTCGGCACACAGCAAGGCAATATACATCGTATTCGACACCAGTCCGGTGACGGTAAATGTAAAGTTCATGGGAGTTGTGGTCGATGTGACAACAGTATCCGTCGTATCCATAGTGGTTTTGTCATTATTGGCTTGGTTGTTGCTGTCATTGTCATGGTGAATATTGTTTTTATTGTCAATGTAATAATCCATAAATTTCCCACTTTCGTGAATGATACGCAACTGAAAACCCTTCACAGGGGTTTTTTCATGCACTATCACATCTCCAAGACCACGTGAAAGCTGTGAACGCACATTTGCCACCTGACGTTTCAGTTCGCACCATCCCTTGAGCCTCTCCAAAATCGCATTGTACTCCAACTCCGGCAGCTCCCTCTTCTTGTCCTCGAGATCTTTGGCTGACATGTGGCCAAATTCCTCGTTCAGAGACTGCAGCTGCGCCTCATCGTCTTCCATTTGCTGCATGAACGCGGCTGGTAGACGGTGCCAGTACAAGTTGATGTAATGCTCGCCAAAGCGGTTCTGGTGGAGTTCGATGGACTTCAGTGTTGTGATGCTCTCGCGCTGGCTCCATGGGCACCACTCACCCGCCGCATTGCGGGCACGCAGCTGCACCGAAAACGAAGCGTACGGCTCCAAATCCTTCACAACGACACTCGTGACATGTGAGCCCAACTGAACGTCGATAAGCGACGCATCCTCCTTCGAGGGGAATTCGTCTTCTGCCACTGCAGGTGCCGCACCATTCCCTGCAGCGGCGTCCCCCAACGTGTGGGTGGCGGCTTCCTCCTGGTTTGGTTGCCGACGCATTCTGCCGGCTGATTTCTTCGCGCTCTCTTGTCTCCGTCTCCTAGACGAGTGTGTCCCACGTTGTTGCAGCAACATGCGCTGAACTCCTGGAATGGACGGCATGCATCCCCCAACCTTCCCCATAAACTTGAAATGATAACCCGTCACCTCGGCATCCCCCAACACAACGTTCTCAATCCGCAGATGATGCAACGCATCCATGCGACGCGCGGCATTATGTTCCCGCCGCACCGCCAAATGATCACTCAAATATTTTCGCTCCACAGACTCCTCCATCCCTTGCGCACGTCGCTTCAACTCAAAGAGATCCTGTCGCTCACGCTCATCGCACCGCCGTTCCTCCTCGGCCCGGCGGCCCTCTAAAAGGGCATCGTACACCATGATATCCTGCGGGGCACGAAACCATCGAATCAACGTCATGGTTTCTGTGTAGTGTGACAGATCCACACACATTGGTGTGAGCGTCAGCAATGACTCGCGCCGCGACAGCATTGACCAATGTTGTTTCGCACTCTGTGAGCGAATGCACACGGAATAAATCTGGTTGTGTTTAAGTCCCCCGATGCGTGCCGACATCTGTTCTTTCGGCAGCGTCAGGCACTGTTCCATGTCACATGTGATCCCATCCACGTACAATTCGTACCGATCAACGGAGTAGTCCCCAATTAATACGGTGGCAAAAAAATCATTGCTGCTTTCCACGGACAAACTGCTGCCTTTACTGCTGTTGTCGTTACTGTTGTTGATGCTTTCATCCCCTGTTGCCTCCTTTTCATCGGTGACTTCCTCCACGACAAAATCCGCGTCCGTTTTCTTCTCTCTCCTGGACCCTGTCTCTCCGTTGAGGTTCCTGTAATCCGCACGTGACAGCGCCCACTCCGGCAGTGGACGGCTCCAGCTCACCACAAACGTGTCCTCATACACAGCCCGCACCTTTACCTCCAAGCGACTCTGCGACACAAACTTTGTGACGGCACTCCATGGACCCCAATACCTCTCCATCTGCGCGCGGATGCTCAGGGCGTAGATGGTGTTGCTTACAATATTGACCAAATGATACGAGGTCTCATTTGCCTCCAGTGGCACGACCGCATCCATCGCCAAGGGGCCTTGATACTCCTTTTTTGCCATCTCGTCCAGTCGTACCGCACGCAATTCGTACGCGGTGACCTTCGCCACACCCGTCACAAGACTTATATCGGACGCGATGTCGGCTGGACGCTGGACACGATGCCATCCGACAAGACAGTAATCCTCCCCTATCTCAATCGGAACCACCTTCATTGGATTTACGGTTTCCACCACCTGCATAGCAGAAAAGCATCCCCATGCGTTGGGCACAAATTCGCCTTGAGCGTTAATCATCTGCTCTCGGACCACGACCCGATAGCGTACACCAGGGGAAAGATTCCAGAGCCTTAAGGATGGCTGAGAGGTCTCATACACACGTGCACCATCCACAAGGGGCTCATCCTGTTCATCAAACGGTACCTCTGTCGCAAGCGGTTCAATGTGCACCTGATAATTGTGAATGTCATTTGCAGGTGGGAAACAAATAAAACCTTCCGGCAGCGTCAGTGTCGCAGGAGGTCTGTTCCATGTGACGTGAATAAATGTCTCCGTGACACTGTCGGCAGTGAGGGCGAGAAGAGGACATGTCACCAACTTGCGTGGTTCGCTCCAGTGGCCCCATGCACCTCCCTTGTCCTGGCCCCGCACAGAGACGGAGTAAGTGGCATACGGCAACAACGAGTCAATGACACATTGTAGCTCGTCCGCAGCAATACACAGTTCCGCAAAGTCCTCTGCCCCAGGCTGTCCACCAAATATCCGCTGTCCTTGGACACGCAGATGCCAATTTAGTACACCGTCATCACCATGTAGAAGTGTTTTTTCGTAGTAGTAGTACTCCTCCCCCTCCTCTTCCTCTTCCTCTTCCCCTTCCCCTTCTTCTTCTTCTTCATAGTCAAATTCATATTCTTCGCCATCCTCATCACCGTCATTCCTTTCCGCGATGTTGTGTGCTTCATTTTGGTAAGGGCCCTCTTGATCATTCGTCCTGTTGTTGGCAGAAGCCCTCGCATCCGTGTCCGGCAACTCCATACCGCTGGCGTTCTCCTGTTTAGAGGATCCATCGGCGCTATTGTTGCCACCGTTATAAATGCCCTCCGTCTCATTCATACCGACGTCTCCGCCGGAGCGATTTTCATCCGAGGATAGAGTGGAGTTGCGACGTCGACGACGGCCATGCCGGGCTCGGCGGCGACGTAATAATTCACGGCAGCGACCCCACTCCACCTCCACGAAGACTTCACCCACACTAATAATACGCAAATCCACCGCCTCAAGTGTCATGAAGTGCTTCGCATCACTCCAAAGACCCCACTCGTCGTAGGTATCTTTGGCCGACACCTCGACAGAGTAAACGCTCGACAGCTTGAGTGGCGAGAGAGTACAGGAGGTCTCACGGAACCCGATGAACTGTGATACCACCTCCATTCCATTTATATCTAACACCCGCACTTTATAGCCACTCACGGCACCATCTGCCTCCCGTACAACCGCATCGGTATCAGCCACCGTTTCACCCACCCATTTTCCACGTTTCCATGAAACCGTCACGTAATCTTCGCCAATGGCAGTCACTTCCAGTTCCAGTTTGGGCAATGTACGAAAAATGGCCTCATCGTTCCAGAACCCCCAAACACCCTCATACCCCTTGGCACAGAGCCATACACGGTACTCAGATGAAGGCTGCAGAGACTTGAGACGGAAGCTGCTGATGTATGGACTTAAGTCATACACGTAAGTCTCCTTGCTGCCCGCACGTTCCACCTTCAGTCGGAACTGCTGTACTACATCCTCTGATTCCACAACGGTGTTTACATCCCGTTCCCCAATAGAACTTGGCAAATGGCGGCGCCACTCCACAATCGCAAAATGTTCACCCACATTTCCAAATGTCACACGAAGTCGAGGCTTTGTACGAAACGACTGCGTAGACCAAAGTCCCCACTCTTGGCTCTCAAAGGACTGCGCCCGTACCTGAAAATTGTACAAAGTATCCGGTTGTAGACCACGAAAGAAAAGAGTGTTGGTATCCATCTCCTTCGTATAGTTAAAGTGTCCACCTCCAACAATGCTAATCTCGTATGCACAAGGAATAACATCCACATTAAGGGCCGTATCATAATTCACAAAATTAGATACATCGGATTTACGCTTCCATGCAACCCAAACGGCATCCTCAGAAATATGTTGTACTGCAATATCTATACCAGGGATTGTGCGGACTTTTTCCTCTTCACTCCAAACACCCCATTCATAGTTGTCATTGTATGTCTGTACGGAAACGGCGTAGGTAGATGCAGGGGAAAGCGCATCAATCCGGAGTGTTTTCAAGGAATTATTCAATTCATATGTTCTTTGTAATGAACCACCAATCTCACGCACCTTCACACGAGATGCACTAATTGTGCCAAGCCCGCATTTTACAGCGGAAGGATTTTTAATTTGTGGAGGAATCCGTTGTGCACTTCGTTTCCAGTCCACCTTCAAAAACTTCTCCCCAATATCCGTGAACTCCACCTGCGTTGCCGGGACCGTCGCAAATAATAATGAGGGTTGCGACCAAATTCCCCACTCCCCATTGACAAGCTTTGAACGTACCGACACACTATACACCGTGTTAGAACGGAGGTTTGGAATGGTGTGATCGGTGTCGTCCGAAGCGCAAAGGATTTCTGTTTGATAAATAAGTCGATGGTCCGCTGCGTCAGGTGGCAAGGATGAATTTTGATGACGTGGTCTCGTGGTTCCCGCAGAGATGTGTGGTGTCGGGTTAAGA